TGGATGAACCAAATGAAGACATACTCTCACAAGATTTTTATAGTGTTGTTCGTGTTGATGGCATCGATGGAACTTGGGCGAGTCAATATTTTCTCCCTGAAGACTGATAGTGTGGAAATTGAAGAGTGTTAGAGAACAGTTTCCAGTTTGTCCAATGCAACAGTTGAAGACTTCTATATAAATTCTGTAGACTGAAATTATGATCATATAGCTTTTTTAAAGCTCTTTATCACAGCCACCCAACCGTAATCTTCAGTAGAAAGTAGCAAACTCGAAAAATCTTCTAATTCACATAATTAAAAGTCCTTGAAAGTAGGTTCTGGAAGAAAGTTAATTACTTGTTCCTGAGAAATTGGAAAGTGTTCAGTAGACTGCAAAGTGTACGTTGCTGATCATCCTTGTTTTGATTTTCTGATAATAACCCCAGATTAGTTATCTCTGAAAGCATGCACAGCATTAATTCACAAGGCTCACAATACAATAACATTTATTGTATCATTACTTTTATGAAGCCCCAGCCTTGCAGCTATATGGGTATAGAATGGTACCTGGAAAAACGTGGGTCTTGGAAAATTTTGGCCTATCTGGAAATCTCGTAAGTGTTTTTGATGGGTCTCAAATTCTCATTTTCAGGTGATTTTTGGGTCGTCTTATCAAAAGAACATCAACTAGTAGATTAAGACTGTAAAATAAGACAAAGCAGTTTATTGGTGGGCTTCCATTGGCATTTTTGATCATTTTGTTTGCATTATTTGTACCATTATCTTGAAATTTCTGCGCTTTGAGTCTTGGGCTTGGAATTGATAAAAATGCTTCAGTCTCTGTTGACATTGTTTCCAGCTTAATGCAATATCAAGAAGGCTTACAAAGTGAAAAAAACCTCCAAACAGCTTTGGAGGATGACTGTCTTAAACCATGGCCTTAGTTAGACTTTGCTTAAATAACTGGCCCAAACTGTCTTTTATATTTTTTAAACTTTTGCCGATTTTATTAACTCAGATTCACCCACATACACCTTGAAATATCTGAGGGGTGTATTTAAGGTAGAAGGAATCGCCAAACTGTAAACCTTGGTCGCTTACCACTCAAACCATCCAGGTGGAAATCTAGTGCATGAACATTAAACTATAAAATTGACGTGGTGGAAGAACCGTGCCCACTACAAAGTAGTATATTAAAAACGGCTGAACAGACTAAAAAGAGTAATGAAATTACATCGCCTCAATTTACTGCCCATGTTTTATGAAGCTTCCCGAATCATTTGATTTTCCAACAAGAATTTCTGGTTTTCCCATGCTAATGTTAAGTCTTGTACTCCTGTTTTCCAAATAATCAAGTGGTGCGATAGCTGAAAAGTCTCAATCCCTGATCTGAGGGATCTTAGCAATATTATGGACACAAGCCTTGGTAGAACTATAGTCTGTCTCCATGATTGTTATCTCTTTGGTGACAATAGTTCATATTTTATGAAGGTTTGTTTCCATTTAATTGCTGACCTTTTTACAAAGATTCTAGCAACCGCCACATTTATAGGGATAATTTAAAAACTAAGTTGTAATGTAGACATTTGTAAAAAAATAAACGTTATAGCACCAATGAGCAATTTTGTCCTTTTAGTTTTTACTGTTATATAGTAACCTCTTGATGGTGCAATCATATTCTTAGACTGTCATACTACATGGTCAGGGGCACCCAACAAGAATGTGGTTCAAAACCACTTAAACTTAGCATTGTTAAACGTCGTTTAGTATTTAAATGGTAGACAGGCCCCTAAAAATTTTTCATCTGTTCGGACTTCCTAGCTAAAAGTCTAGTGATCCGAAAATTTTAGGGAGCAAAACTTACCTTTTCGAAAATTTCAGCCAGAAAAAAGGCTTCTGAAAATTCTACATGTAGGTGACCTTTTTAGGGTAAAAATCCGTTAAAATTGGGCAATTATACCATATTTTAGATGTTCTAAAATCCTAGGAGAGGGAGGCAAGCAAGAAATTTTACAAAAAATGTTCCGAAAATTCTAGATCTCAAATCGTCTTCCGAACAGATGTTTTGCGAAAATTTACGTTGGGTGCCCCTGACATGGTATAGACTCCTTTAGCTTAGTTGTTGTTGTTTTTCTAAAGTGGTATGTTTCTTTCCAATTTTTTCTCTTTCACATGTCATTTATTCACAATTTTTTTGACAAGGCAAAGGGTAAATTTCCTCTAACATGTACATGTGAGCCAGCCTTTACATAATGGGTATCCACAAGAACTGAACAAGATTATTGTCAATAATGTCTTTATTACTATTATACTCTCCAAAGACGTCACTGCCTGATAGTGCTTAAATATCAGTGCATTGCTGCTACTTAAGTTATCTTTAAATCAAATGGTTGGGAAAAAATGAAATTCACCCTTTTCATTTTTCTTAAGGTTAATAACACAAGCCTCTGATAATTTTGTGCCCTTGTCCCAGCTTGCACATATAAAGTTTGAAGCTTTTTGTGTGTTTTTTTTTAATACTTTATGGCCTTACTTTTCCATAAGTTATTTCCTCAATACTTTAAGCTTCTTTCTTCTAGCTATCATTACAAGTGCTTGTAATGGTTCCAAAATGCTGGTCACTTTACATAAATACTTTGATTGGGTAAGCCAAACAAAGGCTTTCACCCATAAAAGATAGCAGGATGGTCCTGATAGTTGCTTCAGTTCATAAAATCTACCATTTTTGGATGAACCAAATGAAGACATACTCTCACAAGATTTTTATAGTGTTGTTCGTGTTGATGGCATCGATGGAACTTGGGCGAGTCAATATTTTCTCCCTGAAGACTGATAGTGTGGAAATTGAAGAGTGTTAAAGAACAGTTTCCAGTTTGTCCAATGCAACAGTTGAAGACTTCTATATAAATTCTGTAGACTGAAATTATGATCATATAGCTTTTTTAAAGCTCTTTATCACAGCCACCCAACCATAATCTTCAGTAGAAAGTAGCAAACTCAAAAAATCTTCTAATTCACATAATTAAAAGTCCTTGACAGTAGGTTCCGGAAGAAAATTAATTACTTGTTCCTGTTTACTTGGTGATAAAAATCGGAAAGTGTTCAGTAGACTGCAAAGTGTACATTGCTGATCATCCTTGTTTTGATTTTCTGATAATAACCCCAGATTAGTTTACTCTGAAAGCATGCACAGCATTAATTCACAAGGCTCACAATACAATAACATTTATTGTATCGTTACTTTCATGAAGCCCCAGCCTTGCAGCCATATGGGTATAGAATGGTACCTGGAAAAACGTGGGTCTTGGAAAATTTTGGCCGATCTCAAAATCTCGTAAGTGTTTTTGATGGGTCTCAAATTCTCATTTTCAGGTGATTTTTGGGTACATCTTATCAAAAGAACATCAACTAGTAGATTAAGACTGTAAAATAAGACAAAGCAGTTTATTGGTGGGCTTGCATTGGCATTTTCGATCATTTTGTTTGCATTATTTGTACCCTTATCTTGAAATTTCTGCGCTTTGAGTCTTGAGCTTGGAATTGATAAAAATGCTTAAGTCTCTGTTGACATTGTTTCCAGCTAAATGCAATATCAAGAAGGCTTACAAAGTGAAAAAAACCAGCCTTGGTAGAACTATAGTCTGTCTCCATGATTGTTATCTCTTTGATGACAATAGTTCATATTTTATGAAGGTTTGTTTCCATTTAATTGCTGACCTTTTTTCAAAGATTCTAGCAACCGTAACAGTTATAGGGATAATTTGAAAACTAAGTTGTAATGTAGACATTTGTAAAAAAATAAATCTTTTAAGCACCAATGAACAATTTTGTCCTTTTAGTTTACTCACTAACCACTTGATGGTGCAATCATAGTCTTAGACTGTCATACTACATGGTCAGGGGCACCCAACAAGAATGTGGTTCAAAATCACTTAAACATAGCATTGTTAAACGTATTTTAGTATTTAAACGGTGGATAGGCATATTTTTATATCCTAAAAATTTTTCATTTGTTCAGACTTCCTAGCTGAAAGTGTAGTGATCCGAAAATTTTAGGGAGCAAAACTCACCTTTTCGAAAATTTCAGCCAGAAAAAAAAATTCTACATGTAGGTGACCTTTTTACGGTAAAAATCCGTTAAAATTGGGCAATTTTACCATATTTTAGATGTTCTAAAATCCTAGGAGAGGGAGGCAAGCAAGAAATTTTACAAAAAATGTTCCGAAAATTCTAGATCTCAAATCGTCTTCCGAACAGATGTTTTGCGAAAATTTACATTGGGTGCCCCTGACATGGTATAGACTCCTTTAGCTTAGTTGTTGTTGTTTTTCTAAAGTGGTGTGTTTCTTTCCAATTTTTTTCTTTCACATACATGTCCTCTATTCACAATTTTTTTGACGAGGCAAAGGGTAGATTTCCTCTAACGTGTACATGTGAGCCAGCCTTTACATAATGGGTATCCACAAGAACTGAACAAGATTATTGTCAATAATGTCTTTATTACTATTATACTCTCCAAAGAAGTCACTGCCTGATAGTACTTAAATATCAGTGCACTGCTGGTACTTAAGTTATCTTTAAATCAAATGGTTGGGAAAAAATGAAATTCACCATTTTCATTTTTCTTAAGGTTAATAACACAAGCCTCCGATAATTTTGTGCCCTTGTTCCAGCTTGCACATATAAAGTTTGAAGCTTTTTGTGTGTGTTTTTTTTAATGCCTTATGGCCTTACTTTTCCATAAGTTATTTCCTCAATACTTTAAGCTTCTTTCTTCTAGCTATCATTACAAGTTCTTGTAATGGTTCCAAAATGCTGGTCACTTTACATAAATACTTTGATTGGGTAAGCCAAACAAAGGCTTTCACCCATAAAAGATAGCAGGATGGTCCTGATAGTTGCTTCAGTTCATAAAATCTACCATTTTTCAATTCCTCCGTATTTGCTGTGCTCTGTCTGTGAGAGGCACGTATCTCACGCCCATTAGCCTCTGACGTACTATATTTCCATCTTTATCCTTGTCGATTTGTTCAAGCCACTGGTCTCCATGGGTGGGACCAACAGGTATAAACAGCCTGCCGCCAGGTTTAAGTTGTTTTATGAGGGCATCTGGAATGGGATGAGCTGCGGCACCAACATGTATTGCATCATAAGGAGCTTCTATAAAATTTACAAAAGTTATATTTAAAACTTGAATTGGTTGGAAAAATGAAAATGTATATTGTGTAGCAAAAACAGCAAAATAATGATGACACAAAAAAGAAACTTCCAAAAGGGGTCCTTTCTTGGTGTTGTGGGAGCCACTGTTGGCTACCTGTTGTATTGCATTGTGGGTATATTGTTCAGTGTATCTTCAAGCAACTGTGATAACTCATTTGGTGATCTCACAGCTGCGCGTCTGCAACACCAAGAAACTAAGTTATCCAACAATGGTATGTAAGATGAAAGGACAATTAAATACTTATTATATGTCGATTTGCAGAACACAAGATATAATAAACCTAAAATCAGTAAATTCTCTGAACTCTCTGAACATTGAAAAATGGTTTCAGAACTGAAGTGCACTGTATATCCCTCTTACATGCTCTGACCTGGTAATTAAAATATTTCAATGATGGATATTCAACAAAAATATAATATTTATAAGAGATGCAAATTAACTGCAGTAGATGATATAACTTAAAGCTAGCACTATCACAAAGTCATTGGTTCTTCCTTGACCATTTCTTGTGGAATTGGAAAGAAAACTGGAGTACCTGGAGATAAACCTCAAAGAGCAAGGGAGAGAACCAACAACAAACTCTGTCCCAGCCACATTGGTGGGGAAGGTGAGTGCACTCACCACTGCACCATCCCTGCTCCCATTTTGTCACCCAAGCATATCAAAGTTCTGGCTCTTTCTATTGCCTTTCCACTTACCATTCTCATATCCCTGTCGTCCATCACCTGTCACAAGAACAACCTGACCACTCTCCAAAAGATCAGCATTCCCACGCTTGATGTTTTGCTTTGACTGCTCCACGAGTTCAGGGATGTGTTCAATGCCAACTACCTTCCCAGTTTTTCCTACCATTTCAGCCATGCAGGCAGTGAGGTAACCACTCCCTGAAATGGGATCAGAATGTTGTTGTAAGGAAGCCAAGAATTAAATAAAAAAAACTAAAAAAACAAAATTTATAGCTTAAAGATAGCGACATCACAGACCCCATCTACAAACACGAAAACAGCAGTCTTAACCCTTTAAGCCCTAAGAGTGATCAGCATCAAATTTCTCCTTGTAATATCACTGCTTTATAAAACAGAGTGGTCATGAGAATTAAGGATATGATCACACAAGATGAATCTAATTGATACTTCATCAAATTCTCCCCACTACTTCTGTTGAAAATGTATAGGGATAACAAATGAGAATTTGAAGTTTGATGTTAGGGTTTAAAGGGTTAAAAAATGCATAATTTGGAGTAGAGTAGTACCACAGGTAAACCTGAACTCTTGTTAGTCTGTCTCTGAAACAGCGCCAAAATCCTTGTTCTGGGCTGGCTCTACCTGTGTACCAGGATTTGAGTGCACGCCATGTTTTAGGGGGCCAAAAACAAGTATCTTGGCACTGCTTTGCAGATTTTACTAACCAGAGTTAGATCATGTCTGTGACGCAGCCTAGTGTACGAAGACTGACTGCCTTAAAGATAACAAATTTAGGCAAGTCATTAACCTGTCTCCTCAACCCCTCCCCATGCCTCCCCCCTTGCTGCTTCTTGGAATAGCCCATCTCAGTCTGTATGAAATAATAAAAAATACTTGGATGAGGTTTTTGTGATATCTGGAATAATCAAGGTCGAGGTAAGTGTTATCAGCCAAGCCGAAGGCCGAGGCTGATAACACTTACCGAGGCCTTGATTATTTAGGATATCACAAAACCTGAATCTAATAATTGTTTTATTATACATTGTTTTGAAGAAAATAACGACAAACACACCATCGCAAGGAACCTGAATAATGTTGTTATTGGAAATCATTCATTGCCCACACAACCTACAGATTAGTCAATCATGCACTGCTAGCAGATAACTAACTAATCAGTGTAGGTTGGCTGATTTCCAAAATTAGCTGTAGGTTCTTAGCCAATGAGAAGACAGATAGTGAGTACAATGTATAACAACAATATTATTACTATGGTTGAATTCAGGCTATGTGACATGATGTGATGTTCTCCAGGGAATTTGCTTTTTGTCTTTTAATAAATCATGCCCACATGCATGTACATATTAATATCATGACATTTGGGTAACATCATCAGGTCTTAAATGGGAAATCAAACATTCAAGCTAAAAAAGACTGTAAGTGGTTAACTGTCAGTGATGATCACCCTATGCACCATAACCAAGGAACAATCATTGAAACCCAACACACTGGTTAATACTTCTGACGCATGGGGTTACTCTTTCTTAGGGGAAGGTGTCTGAAAGATAGGAGTGTTTTGGTGAATATAATTTTATTTTAAAGTTGTTCAGTAGCTCCTCTCTTAAGTTTATGAAAGCCACATGACCTTAGAGTGACAAGTGTTGATGTCTACCTTTAGTTGGAAGAAAAATAAGTACAAATTATCCAAGCACGTACGGTGGCACACGAACAATTCCGGCTAGCAGTGAGGACCTATGATATGTAATTTTGAACACAGAAAGTTTTTGGTGGGTCTAATTTAAGGGGTATAGAATGGTAAATTTGAGACTTTGTGAGACTCTGATTTGAGACTCCCCTTAAAAAACTCACGTCCCAGACTTTAAAAAATGTAAGACTCCGAGATGCAAAATCACCCAAAACAAGACTTTGAGACCTGTCACAAATGCCTTCAAGATTTTGAGACCGAGGCAAAATTTTCAAAGAGTAACGTTTTTCAAGGAAATATTCTATACCCCTATAAGTTACTGCCCACATTGGCTACAGGGCCACTCCCCCTCAGCAGGAAATTATACTAACTCAAATGCTTCCGAGATTTTGAGACCGAGGCAAAACTTTCAAATAGTAAAGTTTTCCAAGGAAATATTCTATACCCCTATAAGTTAGCCCACATTGGCTCCAGGGCCACTCCCTCTCAGCAAGAAATTATACTTGTGCACTTGGTACCCTGTAAAACCTGCACAAAATATTGAGCTTTCTGTGTCATGAGTCACATTAAGCAAGTAAAATTTCCTCACAGCCCCATACGTCTTATTGTACACATTTTCTTACTCAATCTATATTCATGTTCGCTGTTTACGTGCGGCCGTGTGGAAATTTTTACCTATGTATCTCGGCAATACCTGAGCCGACATCCAATGCTTTAGCTCCTTCGAACAAATGATCCTTCAGCATTTCTAGCGCGTGTGCATGCATGTGGGGCGCGCTAATTGTCACGCCATAACCAATAGACTGAGGCGAGTCCAAGTACGGTGAAAAGTCGCAATAATTTCCACGATCCACCTTTCTCATTGCCTCCTGAACTCGCTGAGTTTTCAGAATTTTATTTCGCGTGAGATGCGAGACTAAATCGTTGTTATCTCTCCCGTGGGATCTCCACTCCATACCAGATGAACGAACTGTTTCTCTTTCCGACTGTGATTTAGCTAGTGTCACTCTTTCCCTTTCTTCTGAACAGCCTTTTTCCTTGCAGAAACCCTGTTCTGTTATGGTACTACCCGAGCTATAAACCACCACAAACAAAACACGCCACAAATGGCACATCTCTTTCCACCTAAAATCACAGCGAGAGGGAGGACTGGACTGAACGCATCCTTCTCCCTATTCCCAGGACCCCACAGGCAATCTGCGCGAAATCCAAGATGGCCATGAAGTTGACAACAGAAGCCGTGAAAATGCGATTCCCTGGCGTATCAAATATGTCCACTGACGAACTTTTACAATTAATAAGACAAGAGAGTTCCAAGCTACTATTACTGGTAGGTGTCTTAACGAAATGTTTTAAAATAACGGAGGAGAAAGTGCTGTCTTCAATGTGCTGTCTTCAATCTGCAAACGGTTTGTTGGGACTAGAAACTCTCAGATTTAGCACGTTTCTTATTTTCCTCCAAAATATTATAGAAACGGTTATAACCATAGGTTATAAAACCGAAACATCTGCTTCATTAAAGACATTAAATGTCACCTTTTGATATTTTTCTAATGATGGTTGTCTTTACACTAGGCTAGTAAGACTGCTAAGTTTTACTTAACCAAAAATGCGGGTGTGAAGGCCTAAGTAAAATCTCAAGTAACTTTACTGTGCATCTCATTAAAGTGGGACAATTGTAATGATTGAAGAAAGTTTCAAGTGACTCGATAACCAGTCCGTGTAAAACGCAGACTGTGGACTGTAGACTGCGGACCAGGGGTAAAATGCAGACTGCAGACTATGAGTAAAACACAGGCTGGGGTAAAATGCAGACTGAGTATAATCTGTATTCGTGGAAGGGTTTAAGGGCAAAAAAATCCCACAAATACATGTAAACGAAAATTTACTTGACAACATCTGCTTTCAAAAATCCATTCCTTTCTTCTCTGGAATGCCGTCAATGACCCAAAAACATAATCGCAATCTTGAACCTTTTTTTCCGTCCAAGAGACCTCACGCTTCAACTCAAAACATGAAGTTTTTGATACACGTGACCGTGAATTGGTACACCACGACGATGTTTGTGCTTAAATAAAAGCTGCTGACCCAAAATACTGTGCAGAAAGAATTATGGGAGTAAATCATTCCAACAACCAAGAAAGATGTTCTGCAGGAAATTTGGATGACCTTCTATGAAAGTATTGCAAATCAAGGCACGCAGACTTAAGCTGTTCGGATGTTCATTGAAACTTCTGGCGAATGTGCAATGTACTTCGATTAGGAAGTGAGGTGTGTTACTGATACTAGCTAGCTATTTCGTCTATTTGGAGAAGAAGGAGCACAAATGTTTAAGATGTCTACAGTCTTCATCCTGCATTTTGCACCCAGCCTGCTTTTTACTCTCAGTCTGCAGTCTGCATTTTACACTCAGTCTCCATTTTACCCCTGGTCCACAGTGTTCAGTCTGCAGTCCGCAGTCTGCATTTTAGACTGACCGCTTGATACCCGTCCTTATGACTGACTTAGCGACTTGTGGATTCTTGAGCTTTGAGAAAGGCAAAACATCAATCAATCGTCAAAATGTCAATCAATCTTAATTATTTTGCATGGGAAAAAAGCCTTAAGTTAACCTGAAGTGAAAAAGAATCGTATCGGTTGTCTGTGAAGCTTTACTTTACTTGAAGTTATTAAAATTTACTTGTCTTGTTCAATATTTCTTGGCTTATTTAGGCTCTAGTGTAAAGACTACCTATATCATTCCATATAAGTTATCCTATTATTCATTCAAAATATTTCTTCATTTCTGATTGGCTTAAATCACATCCATAATTCATCATAACCAGCTACTGTCAACCAAATTTTGAAGAATTTTGCTACTGACATTGAACCAATGACGTCAAAAGTGCAAGTAAAGTTGCAGATAATTAAATTATGGAACAGTCGGCGGAACATTTTACTTGTTTCACAGCGAAATATTGTCTAAACACATGGCAAGAAGAGCACGAAGACAACTTGATGAACGACATCTGCTATTTGGGGTGTATTTGCAGACCTGAACAGCCCTTTATCTCCTAAACTTCGCGATAAAGATGCACCATTGATGTGAAAGTAACATCAACCGAAGTAAGC